TTAGATCAAATGACACGCAGTAAGCTCGGGACCACGGCTCGGCAGTTTATCACTTCGTGTCACCATTAGGAAATAGTTATGCTCTTACCGACACACTGGAGTAGCGCTCGTCGAGTAAGCCTGATTCCTGGGCCGAATGCATTTCTGGAATGACTCTTTTTCGCTCTAAGGCCGCCCACATGGGAAAACAGCACCCCTTCCCATTTGACCTAGGGTAAACCAGATCGCAGTCAACAGACCACGAGTCTGTGATGCATACTATGAGGCACACCAGAATAAGGACCGTAAAATGCTCTTAAATAGCTACTTTGTTTTTGTTAGCAACGTAATTATATCCAGAAAATCTTCATTCCCGGCCTGCATGCATGTTGAGGCATAATTTAAGGGCTGCCAACGGTACGGCCATTCACATCCCCGGAAGCCTCAAAGCTTTGTTATCTACCATATCCCCGTAACTTTTGCTTTCCTAGTTGCCCCTCGTCCTCGGACTTGATTTCCTCTCTGACCATAGCTGTGTTATTAACGTCCGCGAGCGTCTCGTGACACTGGGTCCAAAGTCTACTACGAGCCCACCACCGACTCCGGTTCTCGACCTCGATCTGATGTACAATTCTGTAATGGCTGCTGTCGCACTCGAACCAGCTAACATAGACGAAGTGCTCTCTCCACCGTCAACACTGGGCTCAGTAGCTTATGCACAATTAAAATACATACTCACCTCATTTTTGGGACTTTTCACCTGATCTCCCACGATGTTGGGACGTACAATTCGTGTAAAAAATACTATCGCACTGGTTCCTAAGAAAGATGGGTCCATTCGCCTCTGTTTTCCCGTCAACGTGTGTCCTGGTGTGATTCGCAGAAAAGACTGTCGGATGCTTCCGAGGTAGGATTAACTTGCAGAGCTTGAAGCGACTTTAACTAAACCAACGATACAAGCAGCAGGACGTCAAGCATGGTTTTCTTTAGTTTCCAGCTGCAAGTTGTCTGTGGTTTATAGGGGTTTAAGCCGCTTTTTAGTCGATCACCTAACGGGGTCATGTAATCGGGTCGCTACCGCTAACTCGGATCCTCGCAGGCGGTCGCAAGGCGAAAGGCAGTGTAAAAGGTCTGACTCGCCCCAAAGGAAGCTGTGAATGGACTCAAGTTAATCCCCACAGCTTAGCTCTCGTACATAAGCAATCTGCCAGATTTCGATTTGACGTGAAATGACAGCTAAATAAACAGCCGAAAACGGGTACTGAGGGACCCCAGTTTATCATAGAAAATTTCGGAACTTACTGCGAATATGCTGATAAAGCACCGGGCCCAAATAGCATCGCCAAAAATTGGATTTCCCCTCGGCTTCGCGACACCGTCTAGGTATCCGTGGTTGCCAGAGCCTACAAAAAAGCTGTTTGGTCAGTCTCAATTCTTTATTTGTACCAAAATTATTACTGAACGTAAAACAGTAACTCCTATTTAGGCACTTACTCTATTCCTCTGTGGATGCCTTCCTGTGGTGAACAGTCATAGATGCTGGTGCAATTGATCAGGTAGGAAGGTTGAGTATACGTAGGATAGTTGAGGAACCAAGCAGAGTCGACAATTCCGCTGACTTGAACTCTGGAACGCGATCGTTTTCGGATTTTGCGTGCCAGCCTATCCAGATTCATCATAGTACCGATTCCACCTGCACTGAAATTAGAAGATGACGTTTTTCCTCAAAGTTTCATTCACGTGATTGCGGCAAGCAATTTTCGGACAGCAGACGTTTTTCTTTATGTGCTACAACATTCGTGTAACAGGACAGATGTGATTCTACTCGTGGTTTTTTCCCGGTCATCATACTTGTCAGCAGTAAAAATCAGCCTGTCTTTCTTAATATCTTATTAATTTAATGTAGTTAGTACGTCGCAGTCGAGGCGATATGCATCAAAAGGCATGAACCCAATGCCTAGATAGTGTCTTTACTAAGGCGGCCGATAATTTAGAACACGCAGGAAATACTCCATTTGTCCTAGTTGTGGAAAACTCAGCGGCCTCGGTGGGATTCGAACTCACGAATACAAGTGAAGGGCTTCAGTATAGCCAAAACTCTAGCCAACTGAGCTACGAGGCTCTCGCTGGAAGCCGTGGGTTTAATCACCCAGCTTACTGCAACATATGGAATCCAGCAATTCTGATATAGTGAGCTAACTGTCCACGCAGGATTTCCAAGGCAATCAGTCTAGAACTTACTAGACGACTCCGAGGCACACATAATTAGAAGGAATTTTTGGCAGAGTTTAATAATTCATTTGACACAACTTTGAAAAAACCAGGGGGCCTCGAGGCTGCCACAAGAAATAGCAGTGTTATAGGCTGGGTTCACGCCATTCCACGCTAAAATGTTATCTCCTATTTCGCATCTAGCATCACGGGTAGAAATGGTTGCCAGAACTCCAACACCATCGCACGCAAACTTGACACATTTTAACCTTTACCCTCAAGTCTTTCATTAATAATAAGTCCCATTCTACGGGGTGACTCTGTGTTTTCAATGGCAGCAAGTCTGGTGGGATTGCCCAGTTTTGTAGCAATTCTATGATCAAAAAGTTTCATAGTTTTGCGGAATTATTTCATACCCCTCGGTTCTTTGACTCAAATTAAGTGCTTTTTAATCAATCGGGTTGTTCTGTATCAAGCGGTTAGTCTTCTGAGTTGGTGTACGAAGAGAATTCGGTAAAAGTGGTTTAAGTAGTGGACCTTATATACCCCCAACACTCAGCATGCTGTCTTACGGGACCGATGTTAATAGGGGGTTTTTTGGGTGGGGATATAGGACAGGCAATGAAGAAAATTGGTAGAAGTAAGTGTAAAGTGGTACAATTTAGTAGCATGTTTACCGCGGCCGCTATATAGGAACGAATTAGAGCGCGTAAATCGAAAAAATAAACAAAACACCATCTGAAAAAAGAGTCGTTCATTTGTGATAGGTCAGAAACCAGTAGGATTACAAGCTAAAATACATGTAGTAGTTATTAAAATATATTCCAGCATAAATCTACACCGCGTCGTCCATGCCGCACTGATTGAAATCACAAGACGTGTGTGGTTTACCATTACACAATTACTTCTACGACTTTCCTTCACTGTCTATCCTATTTCCCCTACCCCAAAACCCCTATTACTATCAGTCCCGTAAGACGGAATGCCGGGGGCTAGGTTATATGCAGTCCACTACTTAAACTACTTTTGCCGAGAATTTCTCCATTTATATTTGGTTAAGTTTGCGCTGATCCCCTACATGTGCTCAAATTTTTCACTCAAAGTCACGTACCTGGAACCGGCAAAGATCACTTTTTTGGCCTCCGCGAAGTCACGACGCACCAACAGTTCATTAATCACAGCTGTTAGTATCCGAGATCCGTGGAAATAATAGCCTAGAACGGGCACAATTGTCAGGGATATAAGTTCGCAAGAAAGTCAACAAACCATTTGTAGTTCGACGCTTTTTCCCTGTCCAGAGATCACTTGAACAGTAAGGGACGTACCTAATATAAGCACAGAATTAAACTTAACCGAGCACGTTACACTATATTGAAGAGATGGTAGTTGGGGTTGATCCGGTCGTCCCAGGACAACATACCGCCCACTATAAAGTTTTTTGTGAGAGTAAACAAAAAGGTGTGAAAAAGAAACTCACTGTATCTGACCATGTGCCAGGTTCGGGAGGAGAAAAGTGCCTGATTTGTGAGCTGTCGGGCAAGACAGGTGGCCTCGTCAAAGCAATACCAACCGCCCTCCAGGTAGATCATCCAATTCCTCGAGTTGGGTTCCTTCGAATGCCGAAGATAGTATCTGCGCGAAAATAAAAGGCAAACTGTCAGTCAGTCAGTCATCAGCCGTGCCGCTTGCCGACGTGATTTCATCAGCACGTCAGATTCCGACAATAACAAGGGCTCCGGCATAGACAGCCGTTTCTTGAGACTACTTTGCGACTTGGCGGCCAAGGAAGGAGACGGGGGCGT